AGCATTTACATTTTGCCTCATTCTTTCTCTACATATGTTTTCATGTAAAACATCATATACACATAAGTTGCAGACATCAGCCCCTTTAATCCCTTTGGTGTGTATTTCTTAAGGATATGCCCTTCTATTACATAAATACAATAAGATGATCCAATCAGGAAAGTTAACATCTTACCAGGATAGACTACAGGCAGACCTCAGGCTCGACTGCAGGCTCGATTCCAGACCACCACAATGAAGTGAATATTGCAGTAAATCACACGGATTTTTTGGTTTCCCAGTGCATTTAAAAGTTATACTGTAATCTGTTAAGCACGTGATAACATTATGTCTAAAACAACAATGTTCATAGCTTAATATAAAAATACTCCAAAAGCCATTCTGAGCCAAGTTTGGAGAATTACGTGTTGTGAAACTGATGCCCTGTCTCTTTTCTGGTCATGTCATGTGGTCCCAAAGTGTGGCTGTGACTGACCTGGGTCAGGGTGCCTTTAAGGGTGGCATGCATGGCCTAGCAGTCAGGAGCAGGCAGTCTGACCTGACTTCTTGAGCTTGAATCCCGGCTCTGCTCCTTCCAGCCTGTGTGACCTTGGATAAGTCAGCTACCCTCTCTGTGCCACAGTTTCCCCCTCTGTGAAATAGGGATAATACTGGTAGCTGCCTCAAGAGGCTGTTATGAGGATTAATAAGTTAATATTTGTAAAGAGCTGAGAACAGCACCTGGCACATGTAAAACGGAGCATTTTTGGAATACAGTGGTTGTCTGGGTTCAATCACACAATTTAAAGATGCAGCATGCGTCCCACTACTTCTGGGTACAATGGCTCAGTCACATGAAAGTATTCATGCTCCCCCATTCCTTTCCTCTGGGCTCTCCCTTTACACACTCACACACAAATGGGTGCACACACACACACACACACACATGGGAGGAAGCACAAGAGCTCCTTTTCTCCGCTCACTTCCTAAGCCCAGAACACCAAGTAAGGGAGTCATCAGGCAGGAAGGACATTTAAACTGTCACCTGAGGCTACTGGCCTCCCACACTCTTGTCAGCTGCCTTCCGAGGATCCGGCTGGAAAATGATTGGTCACACTTCACAACAACTCACCAGGAGAAATATCCCCATTTACTTTCTTCCCTACTTTAGCAGGAACAATTGAACGAGGTGGGCAGGGTAAACAAAGGGAAGAAGGCCTTGCAGAAACAAATCCTCTTCTCACAGGGCTGGGAAAGTGCAGAGGGGGTTGCCTGCGGTTCCAGCTCGTGGGTTTCCTGAGCAGGGAAATCACACTTCTCTCCCTTTGACCCATGTGGGCTTAGTTTCCAACCATGTACAATCCTGACCTGCAGCCTGGGGCTCCTGAAACTGTAAAACGGGACCAGGCTGGTAAGGGCTTCTCCAGGGTTGGGCTGGTTAATTTCATGTTCGTTCATCCACTCATTCCTTCACTCAAGTGTTCCTGGTGTGAGCACCTGTTGTTGCTCAGCTCTTTATAATTAATCACGTATTATTGTGATATTAGCAGGCACATTTGTAGGGCTTTGTTATTATATATTAATCAACCTTTTTAAAATAGTGCAGGTGTTGTTTTAAACACTTCACACACACTATCTCATTGACTCTTCATAACCACTTTATGGGATAGGTACTATTATTATGCCTCCTGTACAGATAAGGAAATGGAAGCACAGAGAGGTTAAGGAATTTGCCCAAGGTCACACAGCTAGAAGGGGGCCACACTAGGGCTCTAACCCGAGGGCTCCTCATTCTTCAGTTATCCTCTCCCGCTCCTCATTCTTCAGTTATCCTCTCCCTTGTCTGATGATACAGGGGATGTAAAAGAGATTTTCGAGACGGTGAGAGAAGTGAATCTCATAGTGGTCACACTGTCTTGGGATGAAGACCAGCTCAGGCACCTATCAGCTGGGAGACAAGTCGCCGAGGCAGGCAGGTCTCCTTCTGGGGCTCAGAGAAGGAATACAAAGACCGACTACAGAGGGGAGGGGATAGCTTAGTGGTAGGATGCTCGCTTAGTTAGCGTGCACGAGGTCATGGGTTCGATCTCCAGTACCTCCGTTAAATAAATAAACAAACAAACAAACAAACAAACAAACAAACCTAATTACCTCCCCCCCTCCAAAACAACAACAACAACAACAACAAAATTATTTTAAAATGACACTCAGCAAGTGGAGTGCAGCTAGGATCCAGTGTAAGTTTTTGGGTTCTCGCTCTGTATATGGGTTCTGTGCAAGGGGTCTGTATGTCCTGGTGTGGTGGCCAGGCTCACAGAGGGACAGCTGGGTCTACGGGAAGGTTTGGCCAGAATTTGCTTCTGCTTCTTGGCTTCATCACCTTGGCCAAATGATGGAACTCAAGCCTCAGTTTCCTCATCTGACAAGTGGGCATAACAATAGTTGTTATGTCATAGGGTCGTCGTGAAGACAAGAGAGCATCTTAGCTGGCTCAGCTCAGTAAGATGTAGCAATGGGGCCCTTCATGCTGACAGCGCACTATGTTACCTTCCTGAAGCGAGCTAGGGGGAGGCCCGGGAAAGGATGGAGGGGAGGAGGGTGGCAGTATGGTTTGAATTAAGCTGTTTATATGCACCCTCATCTAGTGACAAATGGCTGTAGTGACGGAGGAGAGTGGTTTCAATTTTCCATTTGGGATCAGACGTCTCATGGCTCTGCCAACCTCGTCCGGAAGTGGGCAGGTCATCCCAGCGGGCTTGAGAGCCAGGGAAGGTACTTCTCCATCCTCACACCAGCTCTGGGCCTGTGCCACCAGGCCAGCTAGAGAAGGAAGACAGGCCTCTCTGGGACATTCGAGCTGTCCCTGCCCTTTGTGTCCACACACACCCCTGCACGACAAGGCCATCTTATTTTGGGGGCAAAACCAAGTTAGCACATGTCCACGCCCATCAGCAGATGCTCTGTCTCAGTGGACCTTTGGGCCAGAGCTGGTGTTTCCAGCCCAAGCTGGAAGGGTGGGGCCCTGCAAGCAGACGGAAGGGCAGGCTGGCTTTTTGGTAATTTCCGTCCTGATTTTTGAAGTCCCACAGAGCTCAAAGGCAAGCCAGAGGCGACTTAGGCTGGAAGGAAGCTTGGCGACGGAGGCCGAGCTGGGAGAAATCTCGGGGGCAGACAGGCCTGGGGAGGGATCTATGGCCAGGGGCCTGGGCAAGTGCTTAGCCATGCTGGGCCTCAGTTTCCTCATCTGTAAATGGGGGTGTTGTGGGGCTGTGGCGAGGAATAAATAAGAGGACCCGAGTGAGGCGCTGTGAATTTTCCAGCCACAAGAAAAGATGCAACTTCATTTTCCTATGAGGAAACTGACCTTCAGATCTCAAGTCTCGCCCCACCTCCCCATGTCTAACGAACTTGGTAGAATAAAGCCAGTCATTCAAGGAAAAGCATCTTGGTTTTCCTTGTTATTTCAAGTTTAAATCAATTCCTTCAGAAGACCCTCCTCCCCTGCTTCTCCCTGAGGTGGCGTCTAATAGCCTTTAAAAAGGGAATGAGAACCCATTCCTCCTTGGCTCAGAACCAACCACAGCTCCCATGTCCCTGGAATCGAAGCCCAAATCCTTCCTGCGGCCTGATGGCTGTCCTCGGTCTGCCCTCAGCCCTCCTCTCCCCCTGCCCATGCTCTTCCTCCCTAGGGCCTTCGTGGGGTCCCTTGCACCAGTCTCCCTCCACAGCGCCTTGGGGGTCGCTGCTTCTGTCACCTGGAACTCTCCTCCCTCTGATACCCACCTGGCTCCTCCCTCAACTCCATCTTCCCCTTTTCAAATGTCACCTTCTCAGTGACCTGATCCCACATTCTCTGACTACCCATGCAAAATACCAACAGTCCCTGCCTCGCACTCCCTGCCCCGGCACTCCCCGCCCCCTTCCTGGTTCTTTTATCCTGATAGCACTTCTTACCACCTGACATACAATGTGTGTAACTTGCTCTTTGGTTTAATGCCTGCCTCCCATCATGCAAATGTAAGTTCCTTGTGGGAGCAGATACATTTGTGTCAGTTGTTTTCTTCATTTGTGGTGTCTCTAGAACTCAGACAGTGACAACCACACAGTAGGTGCTCAATAATGTCAGATGGATGGATAGATGGATGATGGGTGGGTGGATGGGTGGATGGGTGGATGGTAGATGATGGATGATGGATTGATGGGTGGGTGGCTGCCTTCAAGTCTACAGGCTAGGGAATTCTGAAAGCTCTGGAAGGAAGTGGGGAAAAAGTCCCTTCTGTTCTCCAGTTTCCCAGAACTGATCTGGGGGTTTCCTCCCTTTGTCCCCACCTGACTTCAGCACAATGAGAAGCAGGCACAGGCGGCCCTTCTCATCACCGCCTTATTTAAGCAGAAAAGGGACTTGTTACAAGAATATTATGGATCCCACAGAATCTTAAGGAGGGCTGGAAGACCAGGTGGGAGGGTTCTATAGCCAGAACTGACACCCAAGATCACACCACAGATCTGAAGGGACCTACCTACTGGGTGCCTGAGCGCTACAGCCTGCTGGAATGGGAGTCCAGACTCTTCTGTTAGTCCCTCAGGCTTGCCAGATAAAACACAGGAGACCCAGTTCACTTTGAATTGCAGATAAACAATAATATTTTAGTAAAAGTAGGTTCATTTTAATGTTACTATTTTATTTTGTCTAAATCTGGCACCCTTACCTGCTGTCCCTGAAGCCCCACTGCTCCCCTGAGAAAAGTCTCTGGACACCAGTTTCCTTGCATCAGGGGCTCCCAATTTGAAGTCATAGAAACACGTCCCATGTGCATACCCTAACTGCAAGGGATTCTGGGAGCTACTCCAAGCTTCTACCACAGGAGGGGGGCTCAGCCTTAAGGGGTTGGGGAGCCCCATGGAGCATCGCCAGCACCTGGTGTTAGGCTTCTGCTCTCCCACTATGTGGAGAGGCTGGGCAGGGTGAAGAACCAGATTCTCCCGAAACCTGTTGTGTGGTCTATGAGATTTGGCTTTTGAGATATGAGCATCATTTTCCTCAACCTATTTTCTCAACTGGAGCACTTCATGTGTCAATTGAGATACAGTCTCCACTAAAAGGAAGTAGGGTTCCTTGGAGAAATGGCTGATTCCAGGACTGGGGCAAGTTAAGTACAAGATGAGCCAGGAACACCTTCTTGTGCCAGAAAACTGAGCCAAAACTGATGGGACTGTGTCAAAAGGACACAAAGCCAGCTGGAAGGGGCCCCTGCTACTCAAATCTGGGATGATTTGAGCATCAAAATAAAAAAAAGCATTGTAATCCACTGCATAAAGTAAGAATTAATAGTCTGTAACAATATACATACATATATATTTGTATCTAACTTGTGTAATAGATATGTAACATTTATAAAATATAATGTATGTGTGAATAAACAAATAAATAAGGGAGAAGTGCCAATTAGTAAATGTGGAAGGCATAGCATAATTAGAAAAGTTACCATTTGACAACCATCATAAAATACTTGTTTCAGGGAAGAATCATCACTAGAGGCTAAAACTAGTGAGTGAAGGTTTTGCAGGGAATAAGATATTTACAAAGTCTCAATACATCTCTCCACGAGATAATTATTTATTACCAAAAAGTACGGGAACTTCACAGCAGAGTAATCTGGCAGATACCACCTTTAGCAAGTGATCAAATTGACATTACAGCAACACAGCAAATAGACAGGTATCCCCTGGTATGAGGCACTGAGAAGGACGCAACGTCACTTCTGTGAGATTCCTTCCAAAAATGTGTCACCTGAATTTCATAAGGAAGAAACACATGACTAACTTGATTTGAGGGACATTCCACAAAATACTTGGTCAGTAATCTTTAAAAAACGTCAACGTGATAAAAAGAAAAGATAAAATGAGGAGTTTGTCCCTATGCAAGAACACTAATGAGACATGAACGTTGAATGTGATTCACAATCTGAGATTTTCTTTTGCTGTAATGGACATTTCAGGGACAACTGGCAAAATCTGAATAAGGTCTATAGATTAGATCATTTAAAGCATCCACATTAATTTCCCGGTTCAGATAATGATACCAGGGTTATGTAAGAAAATGTCTCCTTCCTCGGAAGACGATGTCCTTGTTCTTGGGAAATACACACTAAAATATTTAGAGATAAAGTGGTCTCATGTCTGCAACTCCCCCTTAAGTAATTCAGAAAAGAAAAGAGAGAAAGAAAATGATCAGGTAAACACAGTGAATGTTCACATCTTGGCACAACAGAATGAAGGGTAGAGGGGAATTCTTTATAGTATTCTCGTGACTCTTCAGCAAGTCTGAAATGATGTCAAAATAAAGAGTTAAAGAACAAAAAGTCTGTCTAGAAAGTCAAAAGCAAAAACTCACCTTTGTTTCTGCCGCTCTGCTGTGGCCTTTCTTCCTCGTCTTCCTCGAGGTAGAAACCAGAACAGCAAGGGGCTGCTGTCTGGAGGCCCAGGGAGGGGTGGGGGGCTCTAGAGGGAAAAAAATCCCAGGAATGTACAATACGTTTGTTAAAATAATGGTATACCACTTAATACATATATAGAATTTATTCTGTGCCAGGCTTCCAAATGCTTAAAAAAAAAACTTGTTTGAGCCTCATAACAACTGTACAAAGTAACCACTATTATTATCTCCACTTTATATATAGGGAAACTGAGGCACAGAAAGGCTGAATAACCCGTCCAAGGTTTCACAGATCATAAGTGGTAGAGTTGGGATTTGAACCCAGGTCTGCTGGCTCCAGGTTCTTTTCCTGCTTCTCAGGAGTGTCCTAGTGGGAAGATTTCAAAGGTTCAAACTATGAGGGGCTGAAAAAGGAACATAGGGGTGAGCACAGGCTGGAGACTGAAGCCACTTCTCTCACCAATTCCCAGAGCACTGCCCCAGCGGGGATGAATTTTGGAGAGACAGAAGCAAAGACCCGGAAGACTGAATGGTGGCAAGTCCACCAAGCTCAGTATCCAGGGAGATGAGTGTCACATGGATGAGATGTGAGGCTACCATGGCTCAGCCTGCAGAACTGGTGTCTCCTTGTTAGATTGGGCTGAACAGTAACCCCCACCCCACGCCAAATACATGTCTTCCTGGAACCTCAGAATATGACCTTATTTTGAAATAGGGTCTTTGCAGAGGTAATTAGTTAAGGATCTTGAGATGAAATTGTCCTGGATTGAATGAATGAAATTGGATGAAACTGTCCTAAATCTAATGACTGATGTCCTTATAAGAAGAGGAAAAGATTCAGGGAGACGGCCACCATGTGAAGCTGGGGCAGAGACTGGAGTGATGTGGTCACAATCTAAGGAATGTGTGGAGCTCCCCGAAGCTGGAAAAGGCAGGAAGGACCCTCCCCTGGAGTCTTCAGAAGGAGTGTGGCCCTGCCCACACCTTGGTTTCAGACTTCCAGCCTTCAGACTGTGAGAGAATACATTTCTGTTGTTTAAGTCACTGGATTTGTGGTCACTTGTTACAGCAGTTCTGGGAGACTACACCTGGGGTCTAGACAGGTAAGCTACCACCTACCTACCCAAGGTCCCTTCCCCATTCTTCCTCATGCACCACCTTTACAGTTGGATCTGCGATGTGCTCAGGGTAAAACACGCATCTCTTCAAACTCCCTTGCAGCTAGGAGTGACTGTGGGACCCAATTCTGAACAACAAGATGTCAGTGGAACTTTACTGGCTGATATTTCTGGGAAAGCTAGTCTTCCATTGTTTTTCTGGTTAAGTCACAGACTCAGGTGTTCTGTTTCCAGGGATGGCAGAGTAGGTACAATCAGACCAACCATTCTACACATGGCAACCATAAACTCCAGGCGAAACATGAAATACAACTCCCCAGTAGTTACTGAGAGAAGCAAAGGCAGGCAGAAACAGTATGGGAATCCACATTTGGAGGAAGGGGACTGCACTGGGTGAACCTCCAGGGTTTTTCAACTTTTGCCTGAAGACAGTCCTGGTCAGCATCATATAGGGATGGCTAAAATTCTAATAGGAGCCTGCAGTCTTGAAGAACCAGAGGATGCAGCAGCTGGAAAGTGAGAGGGAAACTCCAGAAAGGACAGAGATGCAGAAGGGGGATACCAAATCCTGGGTATAAGCTCTGCACAAGTCTCTGGCTGACCCCTGAACCATGCATACACAGAGCAAACACCAAGTAGCCCAGCGAAGGCCACCAGAACCAAGAGTGATTTCAGCTGCAGGCCACTGCAGTGGAGTGGAGCTTGAGTCCAGACGTTAATTTCCTGCTTAAACAATATATAACAACCTAGAACCTCCAGGATGCCTTATGCACAATGTCCAAGATATAATCTAAATTTACTAGACATACAAAGAAACAAACAAACAAAACATGTGTCCATACTCAAGAGAAGACCTCAGCAAACTACAGCCCATGGGCTGGCCAGTTTCTTTTTAAAATGAAGTTTTATTCAAACACAGTCAAGGTTATCCACTTAGCGTCTGTGGTTTCACACTACAACCGCAAAGTTAAGTCACTGTGACAGAGATGCTATGGCTCACAACCCTAAAATTTTTACTGATTGGGTCCTTTAAGGAAAAGTTTGCCAACCCCTCTTCAAGAGAAAAGACAATCAATGGTGACTGGCCCAGATACAGGGACAAGCGGATCTAAATCTCTACTGAAGTCATAAGGAGAAGTATCTTTAAGATAAATGAAAAAATGAGAGATTTCACAGGGTACTCGAAAATTAGGCAAAGGACCCACTGGACATTCCAGAATTGAAGAATACAATATCTGGGATAAAAAGGGCGCCATCAACTGTCATATGGCTTCTGCCCCTCACAATGTCTCTTCCTTCCCAGAACAGCTACGATATGCAGGAGGTGAAGCAGTCTTCTTTCAACCATGAGGGCACATGCCATATGCTGAGGCTGGCAGAGCAGGAAGTGGGAAGGAAACCGGTCACTTTCCTGCATCCCGGGACCTCCTACCTTCCACTGTGGTTGGGTCTCTGTTACCTGCAGCCAAATGCGTTCCTAACTGACATTTTGACAAAGAAGACCAAAGGAGCATTTGAATTATATTTGCCAAATATATTGAATTAGCATGTCATTGAAGGAGATGCTTATTTGATGAGGCAGCCTTGGTGCCCAGTCTGTCCTGGCACATCCTAGGCACTTGGCACCAGTGAGTTCCTTTGCCACCTTCCTGGGTCAGGCAGGGGTCAGTGGGCTTAGGCTGGTGACAGTGGGATGGAGAGGAAACATCCTTGGGGACGACAGCCACGACTGGTGTAAGAAGGTAAGAGCAACTGAGCAAGGAGTCTACTTGCTGACAAGCCAGCCCATCCCCGTCCAGCGTGGTGGCAGCCAGGGCCCACAGGGAGGCCTTCTGCCCACCTCAGAGCCAGGCCAGGCACTGACAGAAGAACTGGTTTAATGGTTTGTCTCCCTGGTTCTTGGACGAAGGCTGCTACCAGCTTAGTTGGCCAAGATGAAAGAGGAAAAGGAATGGCACAAGGTTTTCAAAACCTGGGGCTTTGGCACCAAATTTATCTTTTTTAAGAGTCTAAAAGATTCTTTAAGTGGTAATCTCAGACAGCTTTTGGTTTGGTGTAAAAAATTAGGATTGCTTATGTAATATTTTAAAATCAACATTTTAAAAGCCTTAAGTATATTTGTTAAAAAGGAAAGCCAACCATGTCACCTGTGAAAGTGAGCAGCACTTGTCATACACAGGACTGGGAAAGCAACGGCAGAACATGGATGGTGAGATGGAAAAGTCAGCCAGGCACCCCTGAAATCGCTTGTGGGTGATGGAGCTTGGAACACACGGGAACATCGGACTCACTCAGACAAAAAGGGGCTGATGCCTGGTAAGAAGGTGTCTGTTATGCACTGAATTGGGTCCCCCCCTCCCAAATTAATACGTTACAGTCCTAACCCCAAGCTGACTGTATTTGGAGATGGAGCCTTTTAAGGAGATAATCAAGGTTAAATGGAGTCGAAAGGGTGGGGCCCTAACCCTAGAGGACCTGTGTCCTCATAAGACAAGGAAGAGACACCAGAGATGCTCAACAGAGGAGGGAACTCAGTGAGAAGGCAGTCGTCTGCAAGCCACAGAGACAGGCCGCAGGAGAAACCAGCACTGCAGCCCTTGATCTTGGACTTCTAGCCTCCAGAGCTATGAGGAAACACATCTCTGTGGTTTAAGCCCCCCCACCCCGGTCTGCGGTGTTTTGTCACAGCAGTCTGAGCTGACTGTGATGGTGACAGAACGAAGTTGAGCCTGTCACACTCACTGCTGCTCAGAGAATGATTCAGGGGGCCGGCGTCATTAACATCACAGGGAGCTCCTGAAAAATGTAGACTCTCAGGCCCCATCCCTGACCTGCTGGATCAGAATCTGCATTTCGGTAAATCCTCTGCCCCCACGTGATTCACACACTTTAAGGGACAGCTCTGATCTCAGATACGAGGTGGAGGTCTCCGAGTGGCTCTCCAAACCCATGAGCACCTCCGTGCCTGTGCGCCTCGTTCCTGGGAGGAGTGGCGTAAGCCAAATAACTAAGAGCCCGCAAGGAGGTTTTAAACATTTTTATTCCACAAGCGGTTCCCATCTGTCCATAAGAGATACGTCACAGAGACATTTTAGAAATCAAACCAGTTTTATTGAAACAACAGCAACGTGGTCCCTGTTCATGCGAAGCACACGAAAACTTTACAGTAAACTTTTGTACACAGGAAGTAGTAAAATACATCATTTTTCATAGAAAAAAGCACACACGTAAGCTGCGGGCTGAGTGAGCCTACAGACAGTATGATAAATCAGAACACAATGGGGCAAAAATCGGAAGGAAACAGAAACTTTTCATTTGGGGGCCCAGTAATACTGTTGGCCTGATTTATTATTTTTGTTGTGGTTGTTCTTTGATTTATCATCTTTTTATGGGTGAAGTGTTGATTACACGATGGGTCCTATAAAACACACCAAATTAGAGGTGGTCTCTGATGACAAGGGCTTATGCTTTGTAGCCCTGTGTCCACTTTTGGAGGAAAAAGGATTCCAGTTTCAAAATGTTTGTGAGGGTGAAAAAGACAGCAAGGTCTGGCTCTGGATGAGGAGTTTCTAGCCCATCAAATGGGCCGGTTAATGAGGCACGCAGTTTTATCTTCAAATGATAGGGTCAACTCATATCAGAAGTTGCATATTTTCCCTCCGGAAGGATGCTTCAAAAGCAGACTCACTGAAATTCCCCTGGATCATCACTAATTCTAAAACCCCAACCTTGCAGTCTGGACGTGGCCACGGCCATAAAAGGTTGGTGACCAGCAGAAGCCCAACAGCATAATATCTAGCACTCAGAAGTTTCCAAGGACTCAGATCTTTGGCGGGAGCTAGACACAGTATCAGACAGGCTGACCAAATTCTTCCGCTCTGACATTTGGAGTTGAACAGTCAGTGCTTGTGAATTACAAGCCCACAGTGCACACAGCAAAAACACACTCCTGCTAATTTCAGTTTTGTCAAACTAGGGGGTTCGCTGCTTCTACAAACTCCCTAAATAGGGGAAAGCTAATTACCTTCATTTCTGCACTAATGAGCGACACACTCAAACATCCCACCAACTTCATCCTCCAGGTAGAGTTCCTTGTCCAGACTATCTTTTCACTTTCTGCTAGTTTTTTCGCCTTCGAAATATTTTGATGGAGGGTGAATTCACATTTGAAACCGGCATTCACAAAAGTAATAATATATTGGTTAGCCTGGTGGTGGAGGGTAGAATTTTACCTTCTGCAAAGAAATGCTATTTACAAAAGGGTATTTTGTTTCACTGTGGGTTTTGAGTCTAGGCTTAGGAAGAAGTTTTATATACACTGATGGGAGCCAGGGAGCACCGCACTCCTCGGAGCCTCGGGAACATTTGGCAAGAGCAGTTCCACAAAAACAGGAAGAGAAATCCTTCTAGTGTGTCACCATCTCTTGTTGTTATTACGCCGCAGGACGGTTTCATAACCACAGGCTGTTCCTCTTCCCAGAGCTGCTAACCTCGGCGAGGAATGTAGAAAGGAATGAATCCATTCCTCCCATTGCTAAAAAACAGGTCACCCGATGGCTGGGGAAATCGGCACAATTAATTGCCTTTTTTTTTTTTAAGCAGCAACAAAACAGCCCTTCTTTGGCCATTCTTAGACAACTCAGTGGAATCAACAGAGATGAGGAGTTTAAAAATAAAAGTGGGCTTCAAACAGAATTGCTTGCCAAGCAAAGACCCTGGTGAGAGATGTAAATTAGTCTGGGCGAGGCGTGAGCCACAGGAGGTGGAGGGGAGGAAGGGTCCTGGTTCCTTAGTCCTCAATGAGACCAAAGGTCACGGCAGCAAACAGACAGGCCACGTGGACGAAGGGAAGGACTAAGACAAGATACACCTCTAGAGTTACTGTTGAACTCTAAATAAACCAGCACTGCTGTGTTAGAGAACCAGCCTGCACGCAGGATGGGAGCAGGACAGGTGCCAGGGCAGAGCCCCCTTGTTCCGGCCCATTTGTCTGACCAGCAAACATTAAACCCATTTTTCTCCATTGGTAGGGACGGATTGTATTTTTTAATGTTTTAAATAGCTACCTTCTACTCCATTCTCGAAACTCCCCCTGAGTATTTTCAGTTCACCTCTTCTCATGCCCCCGAATGCCTCACAGTGTGAGCTCCAAGTCCTTTACTGTCTCCACGGGTTTGGAATCCTCTCCCCAACCCACAAAAGGATGCGTGGGGAGGGACGCCTCAGGTAATGCATGCAGAGCGTGTCCCCTGGTGGAGACCCCCAGTGGGATGGTTGCCAGCTGTCTGCTCAGGACCCCAAGGACTCCGCTTATCCACTGGGTGGAACTGGGACCGAGGCATGGGGGATGTGACACTGAAAACCATTCAAAGGGAGTTTCCTGACTCTCTATATCCCCGGCCCACCCCCCAAATGACAAAATAAAAATAAAAAGAGAAACCCCAAAGCCCTCTTGAAGACGCCCCCTTCTCCCCTGCCCTGGAAGTTCACTGCCTGACGGCAAAGATGCGGAAGGCCTTCCCGTCCCGGGGAGTCCTCAAGCTGAAAAAGAAGGGAGAGGGCTGTTACTGAAAAATCTGAGGACCTCATAAAGGGATGGAGCTGGCGGGGTGAGGGCTGGTTGTTCCAGTGTCCCCGCAGCTGGAGAACTGCGGCTGAAGGACACATTCCGAAGCTGCTGGGATCAGAGCCTGCCCTGGGCGGCAACAGCTGGCAAAGCCCTCTGCCTCTGCAGGTGGGCCTGGGTCTGAATCGAGGTCAGCGTTGTTCAGGCATTTCTGTTAACTCCAGGATTTGCTGGCCCCCATCTGTCTGAACTGAACTCGGCTTCCCAGACTTCCGCCTGGTTTTTGCTACCACATGTCAGCCCAAATAGTGGCCATATGCTTGACCAATTAATAGAATGGCATTATAACAATAATGCCTGTACTGCTGTTACCAGAATGGGCACACCAATCGGGCTCAGACTTTGTGCAAAGAATTGTCTATATTGCCTTTACCTCCTTCCCACGGTGGAGCCGTCAGTGTCCCTATTCTGTAGGCAATGAGAATTTAAGTGACTTCAAGGTCAGGTCACACAGCCAGTTAAAATGACCCTCTCAGGAGAGGAGTTATATCCTTCAGCTAACTGAAGGCCTTTTTTTTAAAAAAAAAAAAAGCTTCACTGAGATATAACATGCCAGGAAATTCACACTTTGAAATGTACAATTCAGTGATTTTTAGTGATTCTTTTAGGTTGAGCCAATCATCTCCACAATCCAGTTTTAGATCATTCCAGTCACCCTCAAAAGATCTTCTATGCTCATTTATAATCAATTCCCCTGGCAATTTCTGTTTCTATGGATTTGCCTATTCTGGACATTTCACGTAGATGGAATCATACAATGTGTGGCTTTCCGTGAGTGGCTTCTGTTATTAGCATAATGTTTTTGAGGTTCCTCCAAGCTGTCACATGGTCAGAACTTCATTCCTTTTGTTTCCAAGCAATATTCCATTATAGGGATAGATCATCTATCATTTATCCCTTCCTCAGTTGATGGACATTTAGATTCCATTTTTGGCAATTTTAAATAATGTTGCTACAAACATGTGTATCAGTTTTTGTGTGAACATATGTTTTCAAATTCTTTAGGGTATATACCTAGGAGTGGAATTACATATGTTCATGTTTTAAAAAACTGCCAAACTGTTTTCCAAAGCAGCGGGACCATTTACATTCCCACCAACAATGCACGAGGGACCTCCGGCCTCTCCACATACTTATCAACTTTTGTTCTCTTCCCTCTTTCAGTCACTGTCGTAGCTTCTGTGCATAAACAGCTTCTTCGTGCTTTTTATTCAACTGCATAGTATTCCATTGCATGAAACGATTATGATATAGTTAACTGGGTCCCTGTAGATGGATATTTAGTCGTTTCTAATCTTCTGCTTTTGCAAACAGTGCTACGGAGAATAACCTGGTCCCTGGAACTGTCTGCATCTGGAGCGGAATTACCCCATCAAAGGATACATTCAGTTGTAATTTGGACGATATGCCAACTTGCACTCCGTAAGGTTTACCCAGGTTGACACCTCCTCTCGCCCAGGCATGAGGCAGCCTGTTGAGCCCGGTGCTTCCTGTTCTCAGTCAGTCTAAACCAGGGAGTGGCATCCTGATGCAGTTTTTTTTTTAACCAGATATAGTTTTAATTTGCATTTTGCTCCTTATGAATGAGTTTTAGCATAAGACTAACAGCCCGGCCGTGATTTATGAACAGTTTCCTTCAGAATTCCCTTCTCCAGCGAAAGGGACCCAGTTTGGGAACTGCCAGATGAGACAGATGGCCCCTGCCCTCACTGACTGCTCGGCAGAGTGGGCGGTCCTTGGGGCGGGCTGCTTGGAATTCCTGCCTGTTTTCCCCCTTTCATCTTCACGTGTTTGGCTACCCTGGGACTGAACTTTTGACGTGTGTATCAGATGGGAGCCCTTGGCAAGAGGGGGCTGTGGGGGAGGGCTAGGAGCCCAGACACAGCAGGGTGTTCAGCCAAGGCAGCTTTGTGCCAGCAGGTCCCCACGGACTCTTCTGCGGAGGGAGAGGGTGGACGCACGGGTGTGGGGGTTACCCCGCTGCCCTGCTGGTTTCTGGAAAGCTCAGATTCCAGGGTCCTCCTCAGGCATCTGGGCTATAAGATTTCCCTGGATTCTCTACCCAGATGAATAGTCTAGGAGAACCACTCAGAGCCACAACAAAGCAGTTGGCTCTTCCACACGGTAGGAAGCCACGCTGGGGAAAATTACCAGCTTCTGTGTCTCTGATTTACTACTGCAAATTCTAACAGATGGGGCAGTGGGTCCTCCCATCCATAGGACCCCAAACCACCCAGGGACAAGGGGCTGCACAGGCTGTTGTCCAGACAAGTACCTTAAAGCTCCTGGAGGTCCTGCCTGGTCATACCAAGCCTCCCCACTGAACAGCCCACCCACCGCAAAGGCAAGAGCAGGCCCCACTTAACTGGGTGTGTGTGTCTTAACACATCAGACAGTGCGATGACCAGGTGTGGTCCCCTCCATGGCCTCAGGCAAGGTGGGTCCCTCCTGTTCATGCTTCAAACCTTTACTAAGCTCCAGTTCTGCTAGGAAAGTTGACAGTTGTGCATGTTTGATGAAAAACAAGTATGATTTGATAAATTACAAAATAACCTCCTTTTCCACAATCTTACCCTCTGATGCTCTTGTTGGATCAGTTGGTACATGAAAGGAATCTAAATTGACACCACGTTTCTGGACCATTTTCACAACAGGTATTGGACAATTTTCATAAAGGGCATTAAAAAAAATCCTACAACCAATTCTGAACAGAGCTGAACTCAATAATTTGTCATTCAGCCGTGTTCACTGGACACCTCCTCTGTTGCGGGTGTTGGGTTGGGTGTTGGGGATGTAGGGTTAACAAAACCAGATTAGATGGGGGAGGAGGGCGGCTAGAGACTCAACAGTAGGAGGATCAGTAGGAGGATGCTTCCTTGGGGAGGTGGGATTTGTGTGTAGATCTGAATAATGAGGGGCAGCCTGGGGGTATATAGGAGCTGGGAGGGTCCAGGGTCCGATACCAGCAGGTGCAAAGGCCCTGAGGTGCGAATGATCTTGATGTCCAAGGGACAAAGGGAAGGCTAGGGAGGGGCACTTCTGGGGTGAGGAGGAGGATGAGCCAGAGGGTGGAGAAGTGGGTGGGTGGCATCAGGTCTGACCTTGCCTGGTAAGGAGCAGGTGCTTTATTCTTATCTTGGTGGAAACCCACGGGGTGGGGGGTAGGGTTTAAGCAGGAGAGAAACAGACTGCATCACAGAAAGAGGTCAATTTGGCAGCTGTGGCTATTCTACTAAAAGGAAGTTACCCAAGAAAACTGTTGAGAAAATGCACAGGCTTGTGCAAAAATGTTCTTTGCTGTGTTGCTTAAAGCAGTAAAAGAAAAAAAAGGAACTGGGTAAAGATGTGATGGTGTATCACACCTGTCAGAATGGCTATCATCAACAAGAATGCGAAGAACAAATGTCATCAAGGGTGTGGAAAGAGGGAACCCTTGTACACTGCTGGTGGGAAGGTAAATTGGTACAGCCACTATGGAAATCAGTATGGAGGTTCCTCAAAAAACTAAAGATAGAACTACCATATGACCCAGCAATCCCACAACTGGACATATATCCAAAAAAACCAAAAACACCAATTCAAAAAGATACATGCACCCTAGTGTTCATACCAGCATTACTTACAATTGCCAAGACATGGAAGCAACCTAAGTGTCCATCAACAGGTGAATGGATAAAGAAGATGTGGTATCTATACACAATGGAATACTACTTAGCCATAAAAAGAATGAAATTTTGCCATTTGCAACAACATAGATGGAGAGCATTTTGCTAAGGGACACAAGTACAAATACAAATTCTGTATGTTATCACTTACACGTGGAATATAAAAAGTACAACAAACTAGTGAATATAATGAAAAAGAAGTAGACTCACAGATATTGAAAACAGACTAGTGGTTCCCAGTAGGGAGGGGGAAGGGAGAGGGGGTGCAATGGGGATAGGGGATTAAGAGGTACAAACTCTTCGGTACAAAATAAGCTACAAGGATATACTGTACAACACAGGGAAATAGCCAATATTCTAATAATAACTATAAGTGAAGTATAATCTTTAAAACTTATAAATCACTATATTGTACACCTGTAACTTATATAATATTGTGAATCAACTATACTTCAGTTTAAAAAATAAATACAAGAAATGGTGATCTATCCATATAATGGGATAGCGTGGACATGGAAATGATAGTATGGCTGTATCAGACACAAGAAATATTAGAAAGACACTCACAACCTGTTGCTGACTGAAAAAAAAATTACAGAACGAAGCAGACAATTCGATCCTTTTTTGTAAAAACAAAAACAAAAGACAAAACAAAGTAAGGAGTAAGTTGTTAGTGGGTAAACAGAAAAAAAATCCGAACAGAAACATACCAGAACATTTACAGTGGTCGTTTCTGGGTGTGGGATTTTCTGTGATAGTAATTTCTTAAAATTATTTTCACTGTTTCTTGACATTTCTTTAATCTTATTGTAAAAAGGAGGGTAAAAAGGAAGAAAGGGATAAGGAAAGAAAGAAAGGAAAGAAGGAAGGAAGGAAGGGACAGAGGAGAGTCGGGGAGAGGGGAGGGAAAATCAGTACAAAAATTCCTTGCAGAACTGGGAAAGGACCTGAACTGGCCTGGGAAGGTTCTGGGGCATCCTCCGTGGCTGACTTGGTGCACAGGATGGCTGATGTATCTGATGAAATGTGATGTGCTCTCTGGGAGATGCTGAGTGTCTGTAGCCTCAGGTAGTGTCACCCACTCAGCCCTGGTGAGTGGTCCCCAGCCTGCTCACAGCCATTCCCCCTGCCGCCGGCACCAGCATTCACCTCTCCGGCACACACACCACTGTACCACAGATGCTGCCTCCGTCCTGCACGTCACCTTACCCAACCATCCCTCGCAGCCCCCTCCCCTGCACAAGACCTCT